TGATAAATTTGAAATCTCTCCCCTCTAACCATATGCTTGTATCTCGAGAGCATATAAATTCCAGTTGTATTTCTTAGGATAGTCTGTTTTAAGAAAGTGACAGCGACAACAATGTTGGAGAAAGGGAAAAAGAAACCACCAGAAAGAGGAATGAATATATGGAGAGGAAAAGAAGATGGAAGGATGTAGGGAACAGAGTGGGTTATCCAATAAATACAACAAATACAGGTTTAGTGAAAATGTTGTTTTAAGATGGGATAAAAAAATATTGAATGTTAAAGGACATTGCCTTTTTCCGTAGAGAAAGGTCTCCAGGAGTGATACACTTTTTTTTTTCTATCATGAATTGCATGGAAGAAAATATGATCGTCTAAACTAGTATATCTATTTTCATTGATTTATGAATTTGAAACAGAAAATAATGTGGTTCACCTATGCAATCATGGGCTTTTGAATGAATAAAGGTGTTTGTTTCATTTTTGACACAGCAATGATCTCTACTCATGGTAGCATTCTTCAGATGGTGGAACATGTGTGCTTAGGGTTTTTTCTACCTTTTAAGCAGCCAATATGACTTATATAATTTAGGTACTTTCAGGAAAGTCAGGCTGTCCTCCAATTGTTGTCTTGGAGTTGGCAGGTATGCTTTAGTTGCTTATTGGGAACACATTTTGGTAATTTTTAAGCCATGTTTGGCAACTTTGGATTATAATCCACGTACCTTATAATCCACAAATGGCTTATAATTCAAGTTGATATAATTCAAAGTGCTTGGTAAATTTAATGGATTACAATCCATTTCCAATATAGTAGAGTGTTTGGCAAATGAGTGGCTTATGATCCTTTGTTGTCAAAATGACCAAAAAGAGAGTGGAGATAAAGAATAGGGAACTTTTGAATTTCCTTAAATATTAAGGGGTATAATGGTTTTTTACTTGGTCAAACTATGTGACTTATAAGCCACCAAAAATAACCTGGGTTAGCCCAGGTTATATTTTTTTTGGCTTCTTAGCCAAAAAGAGGTGTTTGTCAAACATGGCCTGGTGGCTTATAAGCCACTTTGACCAATTCCTAAGCATGCTTTTAGCTTTTAGATTCTTTAAAGAATGGGCGTGAAGGCATCATTCACAATTGAACTGACACATTATTAACAACCAAACTGATGACTGCACATAGCGGAAGGAGGCTTATGAAATCAATAAGTTCACTTGTCTTTCAGAAAAATCAATGCAATCTTACAAAACAAAGGTGAAACTATGTTCTTGCGTTCTTTTCATCATTTAGGTACCTGTTGCTGGTGCCTTCCAGTTTTGCTTTATACTATATGCATGCACCTTTCACCATTGATCTGATAATAACTGCACATGTGGAAGGCAGAGCTTACTTATGAAATAAGAAGTTCACTAGACTTTTTCGGCTTAATAATGTATGGCGATTCATGAAACCGTAGGAATCAGAGGTGACTACATTTCCTGTTGCTTTTTCTGTGTGCAGGCCACATTTGATTGCCTCATGAAGACTTATGGGTTCCTGACACCAGACTTGTGGACGGCGACACGCTTTGTGAAATCTCCATACCAGGAGTACACTGACCTTCTGGCCAAGCCATTCACAAAGGTTGTTATGGAAGATATTACTGAGAGACTAGAAGCTTAGGTGGTATCTTTCTGTTAGTAGAGGAAAGTCAGCACTATGAGTTAGGACCCTAGTTTGTTTGTTTTCTAGCTAGCAGTTTGCTTTGCACCAGTGGGTCATATGGACATCAAAAGAGACTTGGATGTCGCTGTTTGTTATTTTGGTATATTGTGTTTACGCAAACTGTGGCTGTCAAGACATGCACTCTTTTGGTTATCATATGTTGATTTTGGCTGTCACATTGAGTATGCGCTTAATATATAAAAAATATTGGCGTCGAAAAATATTGGCGGAGAAATCTCTCCCCTCCTGTTCTCTCTTTACTTTTGCATTCTGATTGATGGTCATGAGAGATGAAAGGAGAGGCATTACAATTTCGTGCCCTGATTATAAGAGTTAAATCACTCTTTTTTCATCATGTTTAAGGTTAGCTAGAATGCTCCTGCTACCTGATGGAAGAATAGCACGTCTTTCTTAGGCTGGGGCTTTTTTCACTTGTTATTTTCAGTTTCTCATTTTAGTTAATATATACGATACCGCACTGGTAAAAAATATTGGCGGAGAAATCTCTCCCCTCCTGTTCTCTCTTTACTTTTGCATTCTGATTGATGGTCATGAGAGATGAAAGGAGAGGCATTACATTTTCGTGCCCTGATTATAAGAGTTAAATCACTCTTTTTTCATCATGTTTAAGGTTAGCTAGAATGCTCCTGCTACCTGATGGAAGAATTGCACGTCTTTCTTAGGCTGGGGCTTTTTTCACTTGTTATTTTCAGTTTCTCATTTTAGTTAACTAGTTGGATTGCACGTGCAATGCACGTGATAAATTTTTAAATAAATTTCATTAGCAAACAAATATCATGTCAGAACAGAATATGTTCCAAGAGTAATATAACAGGACCAACCACCACGAGCAACAAATGAGAAACATATTCATATACACACCAATATAGCAATTAATGTCATGTACACTTCAGCTTCACCAGCCAAAAAATTCATGGAACGGCTTAAGGATGAAAGGCATTGTGGCAAGAGCCGCTTGCAAGCAACATAGTTCGTTCAACTGTCTGATATGTGTTGATAGTAAAATTGTAGTTACTTCCATGTAACAATATGAAAGGATGAAAGGCATATGTTTATATTAATGAACAAAATCTGGTACTAAGAAAGTTAACTTAAAGCACATGTCCAGATAAACTGTATTGATATATAGTGTGAACCGAGTAGCATAAACTATAACTTATTGGCATTTGAGGCTATGGAAGACAAGTGCATATTGCAGAGTACAACCTTCGAGATGGTGACATAAGGATATGATATCACATTCAACCTTTCAAAGTTCAATACGATCACCTACCTTTAAAATAATGTGGCCAACCTCCTATGAAGTGTATAACCAAATACTTAAATTTTCTACTTCATTGTTTTGTTGACCCAAATTAACTGTTGAAACTTTAGCATATGTATGATGTTTTCTGTCTCCATTTACAAGAATATCCAAAAAGAAAAAAAAAGAAAAAAACTGAAATTGTTCAGAACAAAAGCATACCATCTAGTTATTTCTTGTTAAAGGCAAACTTTCCAGCAAACTAATATTATGCACCCTTGGAGAAAATGAACTACATTAACACTGGGGGTGCTTATAAGTATATTAACTTCTTTATGTTCGAGTGGAATGTATTGGCACTGGCTCGAGGAGGCTATGAAAAATTCTCAGCACCAAGATATAGTTCCTTTTGGCCCATGTAGATTCATTTCATATCTCCTGAATCAAGAATCTTAATCTGAAAATTCCGTATCATAAAAACCAACTTCAATCCATAGGATAAATTTGCTACTGTTTTTTATAGATAAATTGTGACATCATGAAAATACATTTCAGAAAAATTAGATACACAACAGAAGCAGGAAGACAGTCATTAGGCATATCAAGGATTTGACTTGAATGAACTGAATTTATGTTCTGATGGATTTACTTTTAACCAATGAAATACTAAAAATTCAAATACCCCTGCTTATTATTATATTTGTACCCAATTTCGTTAGAACCCCATATGAATTTATCTCAGGCAAGTATAGGCCATAACAGGTAATGTGACTTTTGCTAGAACAAAATGTGTTACCCAGCCATTGTATCTATCCTCTAGAAGATATATGTACTCAACTGAAATTGGTTTTTACAATGTGCTATGAACTTATTTAATAAATAACCAGTCTTCAAAAAATATGACAAATAATCTATAATGTATGCATTCCCGCAAAAGTTATCTAGAAAAGAATCTATAATGACTAACATGATTAAAATAAAATAATTTTTTTCTGCGGTTAAACAAAACCTTGCTAAAAAGAAGAAAGTGAAGAAAGATACAAAATATAGATCAAAGAAAGTGAAGAAAGATACAAAATATAGATCACTTAGACACTTACTGCAACTGTACATGCAACCAGTCCTGGCTTCTCTCTGTAGTCCTGAGACACGAACACAAGGATGAAAACACCAACATACCACAAAATTGCAGCCAGAAAGAAACCAGCTAAGAACCTTCACACAGTTATCAGATTTATAACAGTGACCACATTCAGTTTTAAACAGGTCATGGAAGAAGGACCAAAAGGAAAGAAGCATAAAGCTACACAAACATGTACCAACATGTCAACTGTATAGGTTAAAAGGTGCACATTAGGGTCATTAAGGACTTCATACTTAGTCTTAAAACCCATTTTCAAGGTATGATCTTAAATAAATCATGGGTTCAAACTAAGATGATAAAGATAAAGACACACGAGCACGGGCACGGCACGACGAACTAAAACATAAGTTTCTCATCTAAAAAGTGATTTCTTTGATACATGCAATAAACATAGTATCAAGTCGATATCTCTTAATGCTGATATGAATTTATTGAATTGCAAACCAAGGAACGAGTTTCTATGTATAAATAGGCACTTCAAAAAAAATTAAATCAACCACAAATAATGATAGAAACTGCAATCTATATTGCATCATTAAACAACTAAACAGAAGATCAAAATTTATAATCAATAAGCATTTGATCTAAGCATTAACAACAAAGAATTCACCAGATCTAAATAGAAGAAGAAATCCAAACCCTTTTGATATGTACACAACAATTTCCACTCTGTTGTTTCATGTCCAGAACATGCAAATCCTCTGCAAACAAACTAGCTGGACTGATTCCACCCTAAATTTCGTCGATTTAGTGATAATTAATTACGAAAAGCCCCCATTTTCGAATCTATGTGTTTCCATAAATAAATAAGCACGATACAAAAGATAATTAATAACTTCCTATGTACCTGAATTACAACCATTGTTCCCTCAGCTATTATTACATGAGCAGCTCTCAGAGATGGAGGCTCTCCAAGAGGAGTGAGCCTGAAATCATCACACGGTAACAAAATCAGTAATTACTACTTACACATTCCATCTCCAATACATTAACCTAATTCATTAAAGAGAACACACTTCTTCCAAAAACCTTACCTTGACCACTTATTTGTTAGCACATCATAACAATGAACATCAGCTGTAGCTCCTGCTAAACCTGCAAAATCCAATAAAAACAACATAATTTAACAAAGTTTTTCAACTTTTATCAATTCAAAGATCTAGGGTTTAATCTTCATATCAGAATCTAGAGTTTGAACTTACGGATTCCAGCGCTCCTCGTTGATGAAGGCGGTGCTGCGTTATTTCCTTCAAGAGCAGTTGCTCCGCCAAACAAAATAAGCCGAGGGCCAACATAAGCAGTAGTCCCCTCCTCCCCGACGGCAGCAACGGTCGTTAACGTGTGCCCGCACCTCGATCCAGACCCGTCCTCCTATTTCTCGATAACCGCGTTCACCACCCAGTAACTCGACGCAGCCTCAGGTCGGTGACGGTGGCCGACTGCACCTGCGGAGCATTAGACACCAGCGACGACGTCGACGGTGAAGATTCCATGGCGGGATCGTTGTTGTTGGTGACGGCGACCTGATCGTGATCGGATTTAGTCGACATCAATGAGTCCACGTCCATGGATCCAAGATAATTTCTAGATTTTCTTCAAGATTGAGAGCATTCTCAGTATAGAAGAATCAAACAAGCAAAGAATCACGTCAGATCCCAAAAAATGCAAACAAATTGAAGAACGAGATCCAATACCTTCAACTTCTCTAGGCGCAGAGAGGTAATCGAGATCTGAGAAGAACAAAAAATGAAGCGTTTGAAGAATTAAATGCGCTTTAATAGTAGAGATAGTGGGACTGAGTTGCCGGCGGAAATTCGTAACCAAAGGAACGGAGAAGGAAAGGAACGACATTTTGCGATTTCTGATTTCTGAGTATTAACGAAAAAAGAAAGGGTAATTTTGTTAAATCAATGAAAGATGAAGGGTATTTTGGGGTAGAGAAAGTTTTTCTAAGACTCCCTCTTTTAAAGGTAGAATGATATACGATACCGCACTGGTAATAAATCGGCGTATTCTAAATTCTGTGACATGACAAGGTTGATGCTTTTCGATGTAGATAAAGTAATGATTGTTTTACTTGCATGTTTGCAAAGATTTTCTTCATTGTAAATCTTCTATTGTAAGTACTTTATTTTTACATAAATTGAAGATTTCAAATTAGTATATTTGGGAGTACATTACCAGTAGTATGGCAAACTGCATGTCTGAGTTTTTGTTACTTAATTTTTTTTGGTTTCATATTCACTTTGTCGTGGTCTCAAGTTCAGTTTGGTAGTGGTTTTTCAACTGAAGTTACCAAGCGGTTTATGTTTCATTGCACAGATGCGGGTACTCTGTTAGTTATCACTTACACTTTCTACGGTTTTTTATATAAAGTTATTCAAAATTTCATTTCACGAGCATCTTGACTGTTCTACACCCATGGCAGACCACACCCATGTATGGCGCAGACCACACCCATGGCAGACAGGGCAGACTCTACCACACCCTGGTGTGGCGCAGACCACACCCATGGCAGACAGGGCAGATTCTAGTCACCGATTATAATTATAACGACAAGATAAAAACTTTTTATCTAGTCACCGATTTAAACAAAAAATGAAGGGGATTTTCATTTTCATCCTTCATTTGATTGAATGATAACACTAAACAAATTAAATAGCAAAACAAGCATTGAGGTCAAGAAGGTGATTAACTTGATGACTATTCATAGTTAGGAAAGGGTAATCACCTCTGCTGCAGCCACATTAGAGCCTAGATTTCGCATATTAAGAGATTAGCAGCAGAGTCCAGTGTTGCAAACAGGGGTATATCAGCACGAATATAAAAAAACAGCAAGCCCCATAATAACTACATTTATCAACTCCTAATTCAAGAATGTCTGCACAAAAGGACAGCATGCGTTAAGAGACACAAAACCAATGATGGCAGCAATAAGTGTGACCCACACCCATGAGTGAGCCAAATCACACAAAAACATTGACTGGACATTGGCACTAGACTCCAACACGATCCCTGACCATCTAACTCCAAATTTTATCCATCTCCCAATGCCCATGCCCTACAACAGTCTTTGCAAGCCACACCCATTTACTATCTTCTGAAAATGGAGCGGCCACCGGCAATGGCGGGGCATTCGACGAGGCGATCGGTGGAGACTCTTGTGGTGGTCGTGCGGCGATAGTGATCCTGGCGGTCTTGGCGGGGGTTTTGGCCCGTGTATGCGGCGGACGACATTTGGTTGGAGAGCATGACCTTGAAGGATGGGTGGAGAGGAAGTGTCGGAGCTGCATCGACGGAGGTATTCCAGCGACAGCTCAGCCGCCGGAGGGATCAAAGGCGGTGGAAGAGAAGAAGTGAGCTTGTGGTTGTCTAATGAGAGGGTGGTAATATGTTTTGAGGGGGTACTACTAATTGTTTTATTACATAGAGTATTTGGTAGAGTTTGTAGTTTTGTGATTCTAGCTTCTTGTGAAACTTCTTTGCTTTTTTCACTTTCGTAATGCTGTAGATTTACCCACAAGTTTGCTAGATTCTAGATTAGTTTTGTTTGAATGATCCACTAGATTTTCTGTAGTACAATGTGTCCTCTTTCTCCTTTCTAATTTTTCCTGTCTCTTATTTTTCTTATGAAACTTAAGATAACTAATTTCTGCATTAGAACTAGCATGCATCTCCATCTTTTTAATGTAAATTAGCAACTATATTCTCCACTTAGAACTCAGTTTATAATTACCAATCCCGGATTCATGGATAATAAGAGAGACTTACCATCATACAGACCAAGGGCGTACCTAAGTACATACATAGATATGTATGTATGTATGCATATAGGTAAGTGTATGTGTATGTATGTGCGTATGTATGTATACTGTGCTGGGGTCACATCTGTTCGCGAGTATCGTATCATGTATCCCTATTAGTTCAGTATCAAATGGAGAAAATATTGCTACATAACCACGTATTCTTATCCTGTATCCATGCTTGTGTACTGTAGGATAGAGCCAAATTGATGACCCAATATGTCTGCTTCTTTTATATGACAACCGTAATATTTCATGTCGTGTTAGTGAGAGCTAAAACGTCAAAACTCAGGCTGAAGCCTTTTGTACTTATAACGCGTCGAAACAAATGTCAAAAGGTGTTTAGCCCCTCATTTTTCATTCTTATGCTGGCAATGCAAGGTTGTCAAGATAAGTTTCCAATATTTGATTGAGTCAGTTCAGTGCGTATGGAATCTATCTAAAGGGCAGTTTTGAGTTAAAATTTCAACATTTGGGCATAGGTTCATATTGCCAGGAAAAAAAATAGCTTACATATTTTTTGCATTTACATGACTGATGTTTGTGTAATTAACATGATGCTGTAGTTCTGCGACGTGTAAGGTTCAGCTTTAGTTTAAAGTATGGAGCATTCGTGGTATGCCCTGCTATAATCAAAACCTAGTAAAGTTTAATTCTTTGTAAATCTATTTATTCTGTTTAACAAGTGCAGCTGTGTGCTAGAATCTAGACTAATTTTATCTTTAATGCTTAGCGAACGGATATATTGCAAACGAAGAAAATTTGCTTGTGTTTACCGCTTCCTTTTCGTGTTTGAAGTTTAAAGTAGCCTTTTCAGACTACTCCAATCCTTTCAATGTTTCAAATTACAATAATCAAGATTCATCAGTTACCATCCTTCGTTTTAGGATGTAAGATCAGACATTTTCGCCTGCTACTACTAGATATACATGTTTGTTGCTACATTCAGATAATACACTCTGAAACGAGCTTGTTCACCGAAGTATGCTTTCAGTATTATTATAACCTCCAACTCAAACAAGTTTAATAACGTTGAACGAAACATGAATTAATTTCTTGCAGTCTATGGACATCTTCAGCTACCAGTTCTCACTCTTTCTTGTGACAAGAGTTTTATTCTTTCCAAAAACACAAGGGGTTGGGAAAACAAACCCTTTTTTAGTCAAATGAACACTACTGCACGAACTATGTGTTCTCATCCCATCTTCTCCTACTAAATTGATATCCTGCAATTTTATCCCTCGACACGGAAGACTCTTGCTGCAGTTGAATTTCAAGGACACTTTTGAAGCACTCGTTCCCACTATATTCTTGTACACCACTTGCTTAATCCCCACAGCATCATGCTAAAATGAGCTCAGAAGATGTTAGTATCTTGAAGATTGTATCATGAAAGAGAAAAAGAGAGTTAGAATAGTTCTTTACTTGTTCATGGCATGGATCCTTGGAGTCACAGTAAAATTGATCTATGAGTATAGGATTTTTGACACTGTGCATTGCAATATTCTTGAAGGTGATATGTTTTGCGTAGCCTCGACCTCCCTGTTAAAAATTTTCAACAATGAAGCTGTGGCTAAATAGGAAAACATATATGAGAATAATGGATATTCTAGTGATACGAGGGGATTCTCTCATATAAAGTGACATGGCTGGACTCAGGCAAATGAAATAAAGGGAGAGAGTTGATTATCTCATATGTACTTAATTTTCTTAACTTTTTGAAGTTCTGAAATTACCTGCCAAGTCTTGATCCTAACTCCATTTGTTGTACCATTCAGAATAGCTCCATCCACCTTCACATTCATGACATGATTCTTCGTGTTATTTTTCCCTAAACTCCCGATACTGTTTACCAAAGCTTATTAGCAAATCTCGGTATCACGAGAACTACATATATTTTGCATCTTGTATCTACTAAAATTTGAGCTTAAGAGCCGTTAGCTAAATACCTTATCCCATGACCAGGCCCACAAACTATCTTATGAACTCTGACGTTCTTGGATCCAGTCCATATAGAAATACAGTCATCACCTAGAGATATAAAGCTTTTTTCATTACTATGATCTCTGAAATATTAGGATTATATGCAATAAAAGAAAGATCAGCCCAATTTATCACCTGTCCTGATTTCGCAGTTTCTTATGACAACATTACTGGCATGATCCAAATGAATCCCGTCTGTGTTTGGACTCTTTTCTGGTGCATGGATGAAGAGCTTTGAGAGTTTGACTTCCCTACTGTCTTTTACTACTACATGAAATTGTTGGCTATCTTTTATTCTTAGGTTCTTCACCCTCAAGTAATTGCATGAAACAAAGGTCAATGCCTGTCAAAAACAATGGATACTCTTCTGTCATTTTAAGATATATAATTCAAGAGCTAAGCTTATTTCATACCGTTGGAGCGCCGATGCAGGGCTGAAATAGTCAGGAAAATCAGGAGAGAATAAATCAGACACTGGACTGCGAGAATTACACGGTTCACTCAGTAACTAAAACAGGAGGAGAATGTCACCAGAGTTTTATTTCTCTTGCAAGAGTTTTGCCACCAAATATGCCCGTTGCCGTTGATGGTGCCTCCTCCTTTGACGACAAGGTTCCTCACGCTATCAAATACGATCCATAGCCTTCGATTCTTATCGTTCCATACGGATCGATTCAAAGGAGCATCGAGGGTTCCCTTAATCTGATGCATCAATGAAATATCAAGACCAATATATTGTACTTCTTCCAAGCTCAATTAGTCAGTGCTGATGGGTTTACCAGAAATGTGACAGGAGACTTGCAAGGGCCGGTGAAGTTGAGTTGCTCAAGCAAATATCTCCTTCTCTTGGGCACCACAAGCACAGCTGATACTGAAGACGAGCAGGTCTCTTTCCAGGCTCTTTTAAATGCCTGCGCCAGCACAAACAGTTCTTTATTTTTCTTCTTGTTTTGTTATTAATTTGTTATTATTATTATTATTATCATTTTGAATCCAAAAAACACAGTTTAAATGGTTATGAACTTACCTTGCTATCATCGGTAGCTCCATCGCCTTTGGCGAAGTAATCATCCACACTCACAACTCTACGGCCTTCTTCGTTGTGGCTCGGAACGCTTTGGCATGAGCAATTATGAGCGAGGAGGGTGAGGATCGACAGAATTAGAAACTTGGATGGATCCATTTGTCACTCAATAATGGAAATTGTGAAGGATGGGTTAAGCAAATTTGGATGAAGATATTGTGGAGGGCACAAGAGTAGTCAATGAGGGGAGGCGCAATAATAGGGAAGGAGATGAACTGGGGGCCATAATGATTTGTCAATTTTGCATCGAAAAATTAGGGAGGACTTTATGGTCACTTAATTAGTTATTTATATATTTATGTCCTTTAGAAGAAAAAAGAGGGCAGGCCTCGTGGGGACATCGGAGGCTGCTGAACATGGTGTTTGACATTTGAAGTCAAGAACTGAATAATCTGACTCCTATGTTGGACTTGAAACCTGAGTTTCACAAAATAAATAAATAAATAAATAAATAAATAAATAAATAAATATAAATAATAAAAATAAACAAAAATAAAATAAACTGACGTGCAGGCTCTACGTATATACCGGTCCTGATGTTTAAGAAAGTATTCGGTGCCCTGAATCACGTTAGTTATCCAAAATATTTAAATTTCTTTTGTCATAGATGGTCTTAAGCTTTACTTTATTATGTGACAAAAGGAAAGCTTATGTTATTGAGGTTTTACTACTTTGCCAAGTTTAGTAGAATATATTCCTTGGCTTATATAGGCTATCGACTTACTTATATAAAAATGCTCCATGTAAATTATTAGCATGTTCTTACTATCTCCTTTCTTCGATAAATTTGGCTCATGAGCTCTATGTAAAGTACAGCATACGTGAAGGAATGAAACAAAACATTTCGCTCATCACCTCTCTTTTGCTTCAATTAGTACAATCAAAATTACTCGAGATAGAGTGCAAGATTAGTGTCACACTCATTGTCATAGAGAAGTATTTGAGCCTATTGTAAAAGGTCTTTTTTTTCCCTTCCCCTTTTGTGGCTGTTAGGACTGCGCATTAGTCATCGTGGGCTCCTGGAAATTGCCTCAACACGGTATGGGTAAAAGCAAGTACGTACGAACAATAAAATTAGTATTAACAGGTAGAATATCGATCATTTCAAACAAAATATAAATGTATGTGCAACTCAGTTTCCGCATATACCTTTTTTTAATAAAGAGTCCTCGCATCTCTATGATATTTTTCCCCCCGCGTTCAGGGGCTACGTTTCCGGGGACATAACTATGTGAAGCTGACACGAAAGTCAACATGTGCTTTTATCATTGACTAGTTTTTACACACGTGCAATGCACGTGATTTAATACCATGATTAAGTATTTTTGGCAGTTTGTGCTCATTTTTTTCTTTAAACTCTTACATCCCGATTATTTTTTTATGTTTGTTTAAATGGGATACACCCAATTTAAATTTTCATGTTGATATTTGAATTGACAAAAAACAAATATAATTTAAAAATAATTTGAATTTTCATATTATTTTTGACCGATATGAAACTAAGCTTTATTTGAGAAAGTATAGCATTGCAAAGTGAAAAATATTAAAATAGTGTTATACAAGGAAGGTGAATATTTAAAACCAATATGGCAAAATGATTGATTTAAAGTATGTTAAAACGATGCAAAAGAGAATATGAAGTTTATTCCTAATCATTGATAGACTTCATAAAAAAATATAAATTAAAGATTAATGCTAACTCTAGTATACTTTTATATGATAAAAACATCCACATAAGAATATAAAAGTACTGAAAAAAATTCATGAAACTCCCTTCTAAAGATTCCTAATTTCACTCAAAATAATTAAACTATTCTATAAAATATTCATAAAATATTGTTTTTATTTCTTCTATTTTATTTTTTATTGAGTTAAGATCAATCCTTCTTCAGGTTTATCATTTATCATTTCTCGGACAATTCTAGAGTATTGTCTTCATCATCTACATCAATTGTGACATCAGGCTAATTTTGTATTTTTTATGCTATTATCTTTCCTAGGCTCGTTAATTTTTTATCATCTCATTTAACTTTACAAAGAAGTCAAATGTACTTATGATGTTCAACACAAACTGCTCAAAATATAGACTTTGATTTTTTTCTATTTCAATGAGAATAAATATTAATTTCATATATATAAAATTCTTTGTGTTCCTAATTTATTACTTAAATAAATTAGAAGCTATCTCTTTATTTTCCTCTAAAATGAATTCTTCTGATGTGCATCCAATAAGAATTTCTGTTATTTCAATAATATTACCTTTGCTCTATCCTTATCATTTTTCATAAAGATCTAAAATAAATACCTGCATTATTCATTACTAATTTCTCTTAGATTATAATATTAATATTTAATTTGAAGAACACAGTATGGAATTTATGAATACTTACTAATTTTTCTTATGTCTTCCATGGAGATTTTTTCTTTGATTAGGATAAAGTTATTAAATTATTTTTTAATGTAACTCATTCAGTGCTTCATTAATAGATATGTCTTATGTTAATGCCAATTCAAGTGATTCATTGACGTTTTCTGAATTTTAGATTTATTTCCATCACTTTCCCATTTGCAATGGAAATAACTCAATTCTTTTAAAGTTATCTCTAAATATTCTAATAGTTTCTCCATATGTAATTCCTTGTATTCTTTTACCCTATAAATATTATTAACGTCAAAGATTAAAGTTTCTAAATTAAAATCAATTAATGCTAAGGTATAATATTATAGTGTTTTATCATTTCTATGGATTTAAACATCTATCAATTAATGTTACGAATGTATTTTGGCTACCCCAACTTATTACTAAAATTATATGAAATTACTTTAATTTATATAGTGCTGATAATTTTTAATCTATAATATTTTTAAAAATTTTATCCATTAACCGGATGTTTTTAATCAATTCTTATTGTTTTTGTTTACCAGTATCAACTTAGACTATTCTTAGATGTTGAAAATGGATAGTAAATCCCTAAATTAGAAATTTTAATATATATATATATGAAAAATACCAAACAATTACACTTTTCTTTGCCAAGTTTTAAAATTTTAGCCCATTTTTGTGGTTTTGAACTTTGAGGGTGTGATTTATAATTTTTAAAATTTTGAAAGAGTTTTTTAAAAAAAATTACTTTTAAGTTTGGTAGTTGTAAATTCTATGTTTCATGTGTTGGTGGTAATTTTTTAAATGTTAGTATATTTCTTATAACTTTAAAATTTTGAGGGTGTCTTTTGCAATTATTAAAACTATAGATTAATTTTGAAAAATATTAAATTTCAGCGGTCTACCAATCGACGAATTTGATGTGTGCTAGTTAAAAATTTTGAAAATTTATCGACGAATTTGATGTGTGTTAGTTAAAATTTTTGAAAATTTAGAGTTTTTTTTACTATTTTTAAATTTTGAAGGAGTTTTTTTAAAAAATTTGAGGTCAATTTTGACAAATTTTAATTTTTAGGTGTCTAAGAGTAATATCTTGAATTCATCTTATTTTATTTACAAATTTTAGAATTTTAGGGTGGTTTTTTATAATTTGAACTTTTGAAGGTGTTTCTATAATTTTTAAGATATTGAGGGTGTTAATTAAAAAAATTAAATTTAAATATCAAAAATTTTAGGTGTATCATGGTATTCTCTTAAATTCATCTGTGTTGTTTGTAAGTTTTAAAATTTTAGAATTTTAATGTGCTTGTCTGTAATTTAAACTTTTGAGGGTGTTTCTATAATTTTTGAGACATTGAGGTGTTAACTGTAAAATTTAAATTTTTTTGCAACTGATGTTAATTTTTTAATTTCATGTTTTTTATTTTAAGTTTTGAGACATTTGGATGAGTTTTATAATTTTGAACTTTTCAGGGTCTTTTCTGCAATTTTAAAACTTTTTTTTGAACTTTTGAAGGTGTTTCTATAATTTTTGAGATATTGAGGGTGTTAATTAAAAAATTTAAATTTAAATGTCAAAAATTTTAGGTGTATCATGGTAATCTCTTGAATTCATCTGTGTTGTTTATAAGTTTTAAAATTTTAGAATTTTAATGTGCTTGTCTGTAATTTAAACTTTTGAGGGTGTTTCTATAATTTTTGAGACATTGAGGTGTTAACTGTAAATTTTAAATTCTTTGCAAACTGATGTGAGAACGAGCTGATAAGGAGCGGACCTAGTCGTCGCCTACCAAGCCGTCAAACCAAGTAACATCCACCAAGGCGAGGATAGAAAACAGACATACATACAGAGTCTGATACTGCAAAATCCTAAAAAAAAAGTACATGCCAAAAGAAAACAACCAAAAGCTGAGGCCGTGAGTATACATCGACCACCATTAACTAGTACTCTTTGAGAAGTTGTCACCGATATCCCTTGCTACATTTTCCTTGGCTATATCCTGCAGCTTCAGATTATGAGCTGCCCTTCGAAGCCGCCTTGCAAGCCTATCATCTTCAGCCCCTGTCCAAAACATGGTATATCTAGCGATATTAGATGCAATATGAGAGGGATTAGCTTGGATATCTCTAAATATCATGTTATTTCTGCAGTTCCACATTCCCTAGCAGTAGCAAGGTAACATGTACTTCCATAAAGCTTTTATGTCTAAACTGAAGTTGGGGTCTCTGTAAACAAGAGTCAAAGCCTTCATGGTAAGAGGCCAGCTTACCTCAGGGACATGAGGAAGGAGAGAAGACCAAACAGAACCTGCAAATGGGTAGTGGATAAACAAGTGATCTTGAGTTTCTGTCACTAGGTTGCAATGTGGGCAGCGAGGATCACCTTGCCAACCCTTGGTGACTAAATTAGCCCTAGTATTAAGCTTATTGTTGCTTATAATCCAGAACAGAGTTTTGACCTTCAAAGGAATACATGATTTCCAAATGAACTCATGGAGCTGAAATTTTATCCCTCCAGAAATGATTGTGGTTGTGCTGATTTGCTCATCAATTAATAACAAAACCCCATCTTTTATACCATTGCACGAAAATATTCCACTGTGATACCATAAAACAAGGTTTTGTTAATCCAAAACTGTAACGAAATATCGATCACTACATAATACATGATGAATCTTCATGTCAGAGAGTCATCTAAACTCCTGTTCTCTTCTACTAAATAAACATAACCTAACATTTTCCGCTAATATTTTTCGTGTCCTTAGCCTGTTATTCTCAGCAAATTCTTCAGACACAAAGAGGTGGAACTACCGTCCCTCTTTTACTCCACCGAACATTTTTGCAGCAACTTTCTGTGCTATCTCCATCTTCTCCTACCAAATTAATATCCTGCAACATTATCTTTTTACATCCGACACTCTTGCTGCAGTCCAATTTCACTGACACTTTTGAAGCGCTCGTCCCCTTGATGTTCTTGAATAGAACTTTGCTGATGGCCACAGCACGATGCTGAAACGAATCAAACATGTTAGGCTCTAGATGATTATTTTGTTTTGAAAATGAAAATTTGGTATGGTTGTTTACTTGTTCATGGCATGGAATCTTGGAGTCACAGTAGTTTTGTGTTATGATTACGGGATTTTTGACGTTGTGCATGTTGATGTTCTGAAAGGTTATCGATTTTGCGTAGCCGCGACCTCCCTGTTAATTTAAACAGAATTGAAGTGAGGTGAAAGATTTAAGTATCAACAACGCTTGCAGCTCTCACATGCCTGTGTCTGCTCTCTCTCTCATTGGGTGGTGGCCGGCATGGGGTTGGCGGGGGGCGAGGGGCGTTGCGGGATGACCGGGCGGATTTCAATTTTCAAAAAAAAGGGGTTTGATCTCACGCCTATGATGTTCTAAAATAAATTTTACCACCTGGAAAGAGGAAAAAAATTTCTTTAAAAAATAGTTAATTTCACAAAACCCCCTGAATGCTGGGGGGTTTTACACATAACCCCATGAAGTTAATATCCCACAAAACCCCCAAACTTTGGGGTGTTTCAGAAAAAGTCCCTGAAGTTTAAACTTTTTATGATGAAGCCCCTACATGTAATTGACAAATAACTCTAATATTATTGGAAGTTGAAAGACCCCAATTTAGTCATTTTTCAGTTACA